AAAAGAAATTAAAATCAAAATAAATAATAAATCTTATTTTTTTTAACTTATCTTTTTAATTCAGATTCTAATATTTGATTTTAATAATAAACAAATACTCAAATCTGAAAAGTGATAAAACTGCAACCTATAATAGATGTGATCTTTTATTACCATTTTTTCGCTAGAGATTATAACAATTTTGCATTTTTTACTTGTGAATTTTTTAAAATATACTTTTGAAAATTATACTATTTTATTAATTTTCTTTTCTTTCTTGAAATTATATATAATTGATACTTATAATTCATAGAAAATACTTAATTAAACTAAATTTTAAAGAAAAGTTATATTACTCTAGTTTACAGTATATTTACAATATATCTAATATGTAACAGTCATTTAAACTATATTGTATTAGTTATTTTTATATGATATAAGAAATAAATAATCGTATATAAATAATTTCAGAATAGCTCTTTTCTGATTTATTAGATACTGTGAGTGAAATATTTTTATATTAACATTTTATCATTTTTTAAATAATATTATTAATGCATTTTTATGTGTTATTTTTATATTATAATTTTAACTTAAATCTCTTTTGCAATTTGAATATTAGTAAAACACACTAGCTCTTCACTGATTTTATATTATTATTTTTAATATAAATAATAAATCCTCTCATATAATAGTATTATTTGATATAGCTTACCTTCTTTTGAACAGTATAGCATAAATTATTATTTCACATATTTATACTTTAAAAATTACAGTCCGTTTTTGTATTTTTAAGAATACAAGTATTTTTAGCTATATTTATTAGATTAGCAAATAATGTGTATAGTCTTTTTAACATTAATATTTATTAATATATATAATAATTTTAAAATCCAAATTGATATTTCGCAATATTTTTATTTATTTTTTTAAAAAATATATCAAATTCTATAGTTTTTAGTCTAATCAAATACTGATCAATAATTAACAAGTTATGAATTAATTAATTTAGAAAAGTATAAAAATCTGCTTATATAAAAAGTTTGAGAATGATAATTATACTTTTCTAATTTAATCTTTACATTTGATCTACATTAAAATTATCAGATCTTGACTAATCTTCAAATATTTTACATAAATAAAAAGTAGTTGAATTATAGTTATACCTATATCTCATACTATAGAATTCTATCCTATCCCAAATTTCATACTATATTTAAATCCTATGTCCTATATCCTATATCCCAAATTCCAATTCCAAATCCCAAATCCTATTTAATTTATAATATATTTTTAGTTTATTTTAATCAATATCTCACTTATAAAAATAAAATAATAATCATTTAAATTGCTTATAAAATGAAATTAATAAACTAAATATAATTACTTTACAACTTACAAAAGGAAAAAAGATAGAACAGAAAATTTCTGTTTAAAATGTTTAAAGTTAGTAAATATAAAAAATCAATGAAAACAAACTTAAAAAGATTTAAGAAAGTTCTAATATATAATAAAAGTTTTCATTATTTATTATATTTTGAAAATAACTCAAAAATACTTGAAAATTTAAAATTATATATGTTATTATATAATGAAAAAAAAAATATTAAGCTAAGTCAATAGTTTAGCTTATTGCTATTCATTTAATTATTTGTTTTAATCATTTTAGCATGCTACAAACTAAATTAAGAAGAATTTTAGATTTAATTTCCTCCTATACTTTTTATAAAAATATCTATAGTAATCGATTTTTTATTACCTTATAGTCTTAAAAATAAGCATTATGTAATATATATGAATTTATTAGTATATATATGATTAATAATATAATAAATTCTATATGACAAATAAATAAATTACTATCCTTTTATTTATAATATAGGCAAATATACTTACAAAGTTTTTAAATTTAAAATATTACAAAATGAATTAATTAAATATAACAAAAATTATTAGATTATTATATTAAGATTTTTTAATTATATTATAAAAAAATTGGCTGCAATATTCAGTATATTTAAATTTTATATAATATATAAACCATTTTATATATAAAATATCTCATAGGCAAATTTGCTTACAAACTTTCTAAATAGAATTTCTAGAGTTCAAGTGATTATAAAAGATTGAAATATAACTTATTATAATCGACTTTTTAAGATAAATTGAATAGTAATAATTTTATATCTTTAGATAAGGTTATTTGTTAAAAAAAACTAAGAAAATATTAAAAAAATTAGTGCTATATACTATTTATTATAATTGTAGACCATCAATTCATAAAAATCTATTTTGTGTAATATTAAACTAAAAAATAATATCACAAAAAAATGTCTCAAATATACTACCAAAAATTATTAAATATATCACCAAAATTGCCTTAAATATAGCATAAAAATTGTTAAAAATTACACAAATTTTCTTTTTTTTACGATTCTTTATGAAAATCCAGTTTATTTCTGTTCAAAATGAGCTTTAAAATTCAAACTTTTGAGTTGAAATTATCAAAAATGAGGTAACAATTTAACAAAATTTGTGTTATTTGAAATTTATTATTAATAAATCTTGATCTGAAAATTATTAATCTTTTATCAATCTCTTTTTTTGTAATACTTTTTTTATATACAATAATGTCAGAAGTGAAAGACAATATTTTATATGAAAATTATGAAAGTTATATTTATTAATTAATATGAAGACAAGATTATTTAGATAAAGTAAATGATAATAAAATGAGAATAATAATGTTAATAATAAGAGAAAATTAAGAAAAAATAATAGTAATAATGAAACTTTTCAAGAATTCATTCCCTTTTAACATACTTATCATTTACTTAATTTCAATATAATTTTCCAAATTTCCTTTTACCTAAAAATCTTATTCCATATTTTGTTTTCTCAATTTTGTTTTAAAAATAATTTGAAATAATTGTATAAAATACAATATCTATAATATTATTAAATTATAAAACTAGCAACACATTTAAAGAGAATGGCTTACTTTTGTAATATATATGGGTATTTTTAAATTCCTATTTGTAAAAGATTATTAGAATGTAGATAAAATTTACCTAACTCATAATAATACAAAATTTATATCTTTATTTTAGTTTCAATAAATGAGTAAAATAATTAATAAATTTATTTATATTAAAACTTTTAACTAAATTATTTTTAATAATTTTTACATAAAGCAATATTATATATTAGTAAAAAAGTTAGATCCATATTCGAAAATGCAACTCATAAATCTTTACCAATCCCAAAAATGATTGATAATTACAATTATCACATGGGCGGAGTAGATATAATTAAACAATTATGTTCTTATTATTTAATACAATTAACCATTTTTTGAACTTGGCCACTACTGTTCTTTTGGCTATTAGATACAGCAATTATAAACTCTTATTTAATTTGCAAGAAATTAAATGTGACAATAGATCATAAAAGTTTTATATTGGATTTGATTCATGAATTAATTAAAAACTCAATTATTAATAAAAGTGACTTTTCAAGATAACAAGAAGTGATGGTGATCAACATGCGAATTTGAATGATATGAACAATGATAATTCTAAAAATTTTGGGTTACAAATTCATATGAGTTGCCTTTATTTAGATTAACTGGTCATAATCATTATGTAAAATATAGGGATAAAAGAAATGCTTGTTGTAACAAAGTCCGCCAAACATGCTTTAAAGAATTTTATGCATTAAATAATGAATAATATCATATTTGGTTAGTATTTTTTGCTAATCCTATAAATATACTTTAATAATAAATAAAAAAATAAATAATTATAAAATTTTATAAATTTGATTACTTTACAAACTTTCTTAAGACATGAGTAAGCTAAAATTTATTCTAAAAGAAATTTACAAGCCTAACGGTGAATTTTTACAAAAATTTAAAATTTATAAAAAATGCAATCTATTTAGCCTATAGTAAACTTTTATTTATATTTATCTAGATAAAAAAAATTATCTTGCACATAAAATTCGAAACCTAGGCTATTAAAAATATATAATTTGTTATTACTTGTAATACACATTAAATTTTTAGATGAGAATTGAAAATTCGAAAATTTTGCAGGCAAATATGCCTGCGAAGGCCTACAGACGAAGGGGATAAAAGGAGCGTGTCACAGGGTGCTTATTTTCGGGACTATACGGTAATTACAAGATTGTTGACCTCTTTTTTCACACGTCCCTTCCAAAATTGACCACAATTTCTCATTCGGATTTAAATCCGGGCTATTCGATCGCCAATCCAACAACCTCAGACATCGTTTAGAAAGAAGTTTTTTAGTTTCCTTGGCCGTGTGTTTAGGGTCATTGTCCTGTTGAAAGACCCAATACCTTCCCATTACATAATATCTAAAAAGTGCTAATGCAATGATGTCACGTGAAAAAGTTATTTAATAGATTACATATTGCAGGAGAAAATCATGATTTTTTACATCGAATTTTAATTCCGGGAACTTTCGTCGCGCACTGAAATTATTATCATTAATTATGATGATATTGTTAAAGTTTTAGTTTAAGGAATGGGATTTGGGATGGGATGGGATTGAGACTTTATCTCATACCCATATGGGTAACAAGCATAAGTTGGACGGTTTAAAGATCAGGATCCAACGTTGTTTCATTAATTGAATATAAACGTTTGGTATTCCTGAATTTTAGACGAAGACTAGAATAAATTTAAGTAGAGAGGTGTGGTAATGTGGTCTATCCCACCATGGACGAACACCAACGGCGGCGAGTGTCCACATGATCGTTCCGAAGCTATAGTTGTCCGAAGCTTTTGATAGTGGAGACCCTTTCAGACACATAAGGAAGGACTCCATATAATTCATTTGAATCGTTCTTGTTAACTGGGCCGTGTATTCCTACATCAGCGATACGAGTATAAGTCATGATGATGATAAATCAATATATTGCCTCAATGAATATTTCCATGAGTTAATTCATTATCATGAATATATCGGATACCTCAAGATATATCCCAAAGCATATCAATAATATTTTTCCAATCCGGAACCTCGAGGTACAAATATAAAATCACCACGCTCATAATATTTCATCACGAACGCATAATTTGAAGTAGGATCTTTGGTTATTCCGAAATAGCTCGCCAAATTTCCACTTTTAAGGCAAATGTGATGATTATAGAGCTAATTTGAAATTGAATGAATGAAAGGGGTTGATAAGTCAAAATAAAATAATTTTGAAATGTAATAATCTAATAACTTTTTATTTTTGTCTACTTGGTTAAATATAATTGGCTCATAAATAATTAGTGAATTGTTAAGTCTCTTAAGAACAACCTTTGTTGGACCACTACAAATTCATTGTACGTCCTTGCTGAATAAATTGTACAGAAAGAACCACATTTGTTCATGTTTTTTACAAAATTCAGATGCTTAAAATCAATATATTCTAAATATGAGAGAATATCGGTTACATTTAGCCAAGTATGTTTAATGAAATTATCAATCTCAGGATTTTAGCTGGTCCAATTTTTAAAATTGTCTTTAAGGCAAATGACTTACAAACTTTACACGCTTACTCTCTCTACTTCACTTCCACAATCCGTATATCTAAAAGAAAAAGTCATTAATTTAATCAGTTTGATTACTAGTTCAGAAATCGATATTAAAAAAAGTGAAAGAAAAAATTCTTAATGATTGGTTTTGCCTCACTTTATATCTGAAAATACGTTGGACAAAGATTAAAAGGTTAACTGTTATTCGTGCGATTGTTTTGAAGGGTCATTAACATTCCTTGTTTCAGCTGGCAAAAAAAACTTTTTATAAAATTTTAATTCATGCGAACAAGGCAACACACAAAATAAGCATTGATTGTGTATAAAGTAAATATAGTAGATTTGCTCCCGATTATCTTTGTATGGTTGAATAATGTATATTATTAATATAGCTTATTATATTGGTTTTTCTAATTTATTTAATTTTTTGTGAAAACATAAATATAAATCTAAATCTATGGCACAGTTGTTGAACGGAATGCCTACTTAATTTTTTTTTTTTTTTTTTGTGAATTTTGTGATGAAAGATTAAACTTTTGATTATAGTTGGTTGGCTTTCTTGTTTAGCGACTTGGATAATGGCCTTCAAAAAACGAAAAAATTAAAAATTAAAAAATGAATTCTAAATTGGAAAGTCACGTGCATTATAGACTTAAAAAGAAGGAAAGATGTGAAAGCATTTTCTGATCACCGATTTTCACAAAAGGTTATGTTTTATTGCAAAACTTTGTTCCGGAATATAAAAATGCAATCCTCGAATATTTTATATCAGGGTGAAACCATTCATGCATTAGGGGGTTAAATTTTATTAACAGTGTAATGAACGACTGTTCAGTTATAGACAATTGAATTTTTCCGACTTAATGTTCTTTTCTATGCAGCAAAATCCACGAAGATTTTCATTGCTTTATTATTTTGTAATGAGTAGATACTCCATTCGAATGACGCATCATTCAATTCATATCATATATTTTGTTGTTAATGTTGAAGGGTATATGATATTTCAGCAAGTCCGTATATTATTTTTTTTTTTTTTAAAAAAAAAAAATAAAATAAAAAATAAAAGGAAAAACATCTTTACCCATCGTATATTAATAATTTTTCCGAAATTTCCAATTTGGGGCTCAATATTATTGGTTAGAAATGTTTATTACGGTGCGGTGTAACATTTACTAATCTCGGAACCGATTTTAATAGCTAATGATTTGACAACAATTTAATTTGAAGATCGAAAGTATTTTTTTTTATTTTTTTTTATTTTTGAAATAGATACAGACCATATTCTATTTTGAATAAAACAAATTTCGTTAAGCTTCCTTTATTGACTATTTATTCTCTATTTCTTTGTATTATGGCCTCCATTCGTCACGAAATAGTTTACGCTGCATTTTGCAGAGTATATGAATTAACTTGTTTCAACAATCACTTAGACATAGAAAAATGGAATGAATTTAGACAACAAATAATTTACGCTGATAAATCTCTCACAAAAGAGGAAAAATCAGAGGTATTACGAAAAATAAATAATTTTTATGAATTTAATAAAGGTATTTTTAATCTTGGAACGAAAAGTGTTTGTGAAAATTGCAAACAAGAATGCTTAACAACATCATGTTGCGCGCATTGTATACGAAGTTATTTAAAAGCAAAATTTTCAAATTGGACATCTGGAAATAATGAAATTGATAATTTAATAAAGAAATATCAGATGAAAACATTTTTCCCTCAGAAAATAGTAGAGTGGATTCCATATAATAATTTACAAAATATTGAGTATCTAACTAAAGGTGGATGCTCTGAAATTTATACAGCAGTTTGGATTGATGGAGTCTATGATAAATGGGATTTTAATAAACAACAATTAACAAGGTTTGGTAATCAAGATGTAATACTCAAAAAACTTGAAAATGTGAAAAGTATGAATAAAAGTTGGTTTAATGAGGTAGTATTTATAGAATTTAAAATTTGTTTTTTTTTTAAAAAAAATGGTAACTAATCAATTAAATTCTTATTTGCAGACTGAAACACAATTAATATTAAATAGTAAATGGGATAATTTTAGTAATTGTTGTGGTCTTACTCAAAATCTTCAAACTAAAGATTATTTTCTTGTAATGATTTCATTTAAAATGGATTTGAGAAAATATTTACAACAATATCATCATCAACTTATATGGAAACAAAAATTTTATATTATTTTTTTCATAATTGAAGCAATTTTTTACCTTCATAAAGAAAATTTTATTCATAGAGATTTACATTCAGGAAATATATTATTTAGTCAATATACTAATATGTGGCTTATTAGTGATTTTGGATTTTGTGGTCCTGTTAATAAACCATTAGAAAGTATATATGGTAATCTTCCTTATATAGCACCTGAAGTTATATTGGGAAAAGGATATACTTTTGCATCAGATATTTATAGTATTGGTATGATTATGTGGGAGGTTTCATCTGGACAACCACCTTTTACCAATTTTGATCATGATTATGATCTTGCAATGAAAATAGTAAATGGTATGCGACCAAAAATAGTATTAAAAATACCAATAGAATATAAACATTTAATGATACAATGTTGGGATGCTGATCCATTAAAAAGACCAAATATTAGTATTCTTTATAATAAAATTAAAAACATACAAGATTTATATCATCAAAATCAAACTGATATTACTTTAAATAGTATACAATCAAATGAAAATTCTATTATTAGTTCTACTTCTATTAATCCATTAGTTAGAAAATTAAGTAAATATTATACTTTTAAAGATTTACCTGAACTAAGAAATACTAATGAAGGTAAGTTGTTTATGATTAAATAAAATTAAAATTTAATTTAATATTAATTTAATATTTTATTTTCATAAAAAAAAAGCTTATGATAGTAAGCAAAATAGTCTTAAAATTCCAGACAGTAAGTAATTCTAATTTATATGTAATTAATAAATAATTATAAATTAATTTAATTATTTTAAAAAAAATTAAAGAAATATTTAAAGATTATACTGAAATGAATACTTCTACAACAATTATTGGTAAGAATATATATTTATAATATTTTATTTATAATTTAGCTTATATTTAAATATAATATAATTAATATTAATAGATATGAATATTGATAATATAAAAAGAAATTTTTTATATTATGAAAATGGTAATGAAAATTGCAATTATTTCTTTTTTGAATAATAATGATTATATTTATCATTAAAATTTTATTATTTAATTAGAAAATTTAAAAATTATAATTAATAAATAAGATTTAATAATAACAAAAATAATTATTTATAAATTGATAATACTAACATATTAATGATTATAAATAATTTATTTAGAAATTAATTATATTAATAATGAAATTGAAACACATTATATGCAAAAAAATTATATGTTAATTGATGGTAAGTAATAGATAAATTAATTAATTTATTGTTAAATTTATTATTTAATCATTTTAAATTAATTAGATAATAAAGAAATTTATAATAATTCAAACCTTCATTCAGAAGATCAAAATAATTTAGAAATTCCTAAAGGTAAAATTTAATGTTATTAAATTTATAATTTTTATAATTAAATAATTTATTATATATTAAAATTATCTAGAAATACTTAAAGATTAAAGTCTTTTAATCAGTAATTAAATAGAATATATTGTTTTTTATTTTTATATATATTTATTTAATTATAAAATAGAATAGCAATTATTATATTTACAATAAATCTTAAAATTTTATAATATAACTATAATATTATTTTAATATTTTAAATTATACCTTATAAATAAAATATTAAAGTGAGAGTTTATTAAATTATATAAGTATTTAAGTATTATGCAAAATATTTGTATAATACAACTTTCTATTTTCTGAATTATTTTAAATATTAGCTAATTTTTTTATTTGAATTACTAATATTTCATTTAAATTAAAATTAATCTCATTTAATATAATAATATATAAGTTATAAAGGTATAGATAATAAATAAATATTTTTGTATACATTTATATATGTGAATTAATATTAGTAAAGACATATAATTATAATAATAAATTAGTCATATGATATTTAATTATTAGATAATTCTACTTTTATATAATGTTTGTTAAATCCATTCTCAAAAAAAAGAAATAAGCATAAATTTGATTAGTTTTATGTAAGAACTATAAGAATTTTTTATATATCAATATTCAATATCAATATTAATATAATATTAATAGAAATAATATAAATATAAAAAAATTGAAATAAAAGAATTATATAAATAAATAAAGAAATGTTTTTTTGTAATTTTATTATCCCTTTAAGTATTTTGCAAGCAAATTTGTCTGCAATTTTATTTAATAATTAAAATTATATATAATAATATTTTTAAAATAATTTATGTAAAATTAATATTTTTATAATAAATTTTATGATGTTTTCTAAGTAAAAATTCAAAAAAAATATGTAATTAATTAGTAATATTTTAAAGATAAATATATGATAAATTTATATAAAAAAATTAAAATTTTAAACTTATATATTTACTATCTATTGATCTTAGAAATATAAAAATATAATCATTTAATAGATCTTAATGAGATAAATCAAATAAAATAAATTTTATTATCTTGTAATTATTAGTTATTTTAAAAAATTAAAAAATTAATATATATTAATAATTATTAATTTTAAAATTTAAAAATATAATTGTTAGATAAATCTTAATATAAAAAAATCTAATAAACTTTATTTCATTTTTTTATAATCATTAGATATTAGAATATTATAATTTTTCTACAATATTTTATAGTCAATTTATATCTATGCTTTAAGGGATATAAATATGTAAAAAAAATAATAAAAAAATAATAATTAGTTATTATTCATTAAACTATAGAACATGTAAATTTACTTGCAAACATAAATAAAAAATATTAATTTTTAATAAAATATAAAATTTAATTTTAATAATATAATTATTATATAAAAAATATAGTATAATATATATTTAAATTTATTAAGAAGTTTTTTTAAATAATTCAATTTTAAAATTAAGTTTTAAAATATTTATTATAATT